ATGGCCCAGCTTGAGCCCAAACCTTATGCCCTGAACTTTAGATCGGTTGCAAAATAAGGGCCAAAACTGGCTGGAACCCTTCCTGCAGATCATGAGCGTAGAGGGCTATTCCCGCGCAAGTTGCTGCGAGACCAGAGCGCCACGCAAGACATGTTGCCACCTCTATACGCGTGCCTTTAAGGCTCCTTGGGGTTGTCACGTTTAGACCCTGGTAGCTGTTGTTTCCGCCGCATGACTGTTGCTGTGGATGACCTGGTGTACCGGCTTTTTGCCCTGGGCGCACCGCGCGAAACTTGCCACGGATTGGGAAACCCTATCAACTCGAAAAAGACGGTACAAACCCTATAAGCACCGTGCAGCCCTCGTCCTCCTTGTGATTTGGACAAGCGACGGCGGCCTCTTTGATCTCTACCAGGCTGGGCGGCCAGGCATAGACCTTTGCTACGTGAAAGTCAGCATTTCGTATTCCACTTTCTTCTGCATTCTTGCAGCATGCGTGAATGAGTCAGGGCTACTCGTGGCTGGAGTTCTTTGCGGGGAGTGCAAGGTGCACTTCAAAGGTCAGACTTCGTGGCGTTCCGGGCTGCAAGTTTGATTTGATGTACAACCAGGGATGAAAAAAGAAGACCTCCGCCGGATCAAGGGGGAAGAAGAGTTCATCTAAACCCAGATCCAACTACATGGATATCAATTCCACAAGCGGATTCGTGCTCCCAGGCACAATATCATCATTGTTGTCGTTTGAGGTACGTATACTGGCCTTGGTAATTATCCCGCCCCAATTACCTATATGGGATCCCTTAATGTGCTATATGAACCCCGAAAGGAATTCCTTCTGTGACGCCCCAATTAAGTAGAACCCGCAATGCAACCCTTGGGAAAGTTTTGGGCAACCAAGGCTGGCAATCGTATTTCTACTTCGAACAATCGAATCCTTTTGCGCATGGTTTGGTATTAAATGTTCCAGCTGGACCCAGATCAATAGAGGAACAAGTGCCCGCAGTGCGTGCAGTAGCACAGGAGATGCTTCCAAAGCCTCGGTGGTTGAGGCCAACCGAATGCTGGAGAGGCCATCAGGTTAGAAACTTCAGGTTGGATCACACGGCAACGCAGGGTCCATGTGGGTTATATATCATATAAGATTGTTAAAGTTAGGGCCCTTATGAGGGGTTGGAATGCATGGTTACTTGGGTTGGGCTTGTAATGGGGTCTAGTGGGCTTCAGTTGCAGCTACCCTGTAGAGGTGCTCTTTATTATTGCTGTTAACAACTGCTCTCGGCGGGTGCTGGATACTGGAGCAACCGGGAAATTCAATTCTCGGATATTACCCGGCCTTTCGCTACGTGCTCATGAAGCTTATTGAAATCCATGGGAGCGCAGCAGCAGCAGGGGTCTTAGCAGTTCAGCAGGCATGAACTTGCAGATATCCATCCTGGACTACATACACCCCAAATTGAGTATAGGGATGAACTTTGCTACGCGTGCATTATCATGCAAATTCTCATCATCTGTAATTTCCAGCGGGGGCGGATCTTTAACGGCTTGGATGGAAGGGGAAGAGTTGATTCCTTGGGATTCCTACAGAGGTTTTGTGATTTGGGAGACACGGCTTTGTGAATGAAACCGTAGGATGCTGTAGTTGGTGATCCTTGTGACTATATGAAAATATCCGGTCTAGAGTAGAGAAGGGTGTGCGCCGTACGGGTCTATATCAAATTGCTGATTTGGTCAGCTTTAGAGTTAATTCGGATAGAAGGGAATTTACGAATTGAGGTCCCCAGTCTTATGGGCGCTGCCCCCGCTCTGTAAGTTGGGTAATAATATAGTGCATATACCTGAATGGGCCAGCCCTTAATTTAGATTGACTCTTACAGGGTGGAGGCAGTACCCAAGCATATAGCATTTGGTTTTCAGGTTGTTGCGTTATATAGGTTCATGGGTCCACGATGATAGCTCGAGGGGTTCTCTGTCTGAATTCCAGAACATGAGGTCAGCCGCGTGGGATGGTGGATGGGGTCTTTTGGTGCTGCTACTGCGAAAAGGCAATGTGCCTATTCAAATTCATCCGTCATCCGGCGTATTGACAAAGGCAAGCTACACGTCATCCGCAAGGTTGAGAAGAAAGCAGTCACTGCAGTTCGCTATCAGAACAATTCGGGCAAGTGGTGTTGGCAAGGCGCAGCAGCTCTCAAGTCTACGGAGAATCTTGTTTATATAGTACAGTAAGAAAGAACAAGATTGTGTCGGAAACGCAAAATTCCCAATCATTATTATGTCCCGCCCAAGGACTTATCCAGAGGCATTTGCCTCCGGCATTGCCGAGATCTTTCATGACCTCGCATCAAGCGCCCGAGGTTGCCCAGAACTGCCACGGAAGCTTCCTTCAGCCCTGGAGTTGTTTCAACAGAATCAGACAGCCCCTGAAGTAGCTGAACTGTTCGAGTTTGCTGAGCTAGATTCCCCGTATGCTTCTTTGAGGGGTGGCAAATCGCTTCGAATCCCCCCTGAGTGGAAACCACTCTTTCCTGTAAAGGATGGAATCTCTGAATGCCGGCCCGAAGTGTCCCGAAAGAGAGCCCGAAAGGGTTGAACCAGGTTTCTATCGCCCCAAAAGTGCCCGATACGATTTTATGGCAAGACCGAGCTATATGAAAAGTAGGTTTTGGAAGCAGAACCCATAATTAACATAGGAAACCCATAATTCGCCATAGAAACCCATAATCCCGAATGGTTAAAACCTGGTTCTACCCCAAAACCTAAAAAACCAGAACCCGTAATTAACCATAGACAACCCGTAATTACCCGTAGGGAACCCGTAATTACCCGTCGGTGCAAAAGTGGGTTCTGGGGTCAGGCTCCCGAAGCGAATTTTCTATAATTCGAGCAGCTTTTCTCAAAGCTCAACAAGCCACCAGCCCGAGCTTCGAGCGCTGAAACACGAATTGTGTCCCATGAGCTTGTTTGCGCAGTCCTGACATGCGGTGCTGTTCATTGGCACCACGCATCATCTATTTTCATGAGAGTGCTTCAGGCCTTCTGTGCTCCAGTTTGGGGCTACGGATTTTCTGTAGCTTGTGTGGGTCTTTTGCGGGGTGCAATGTCCAGACAGTGGAGCTGCGCTACGCTCGAAGAAGGCATAAGCCAAGTTGATGACGAATTTTGGCAGAACGCGGGCCCAGATGCCCTGGCACGCCTACGAATGGAAACTTGTGCAAGAGATGACTGCTACCTGCTTGCATATCGATCATCATGAAATTAGGAAACATGCAGCAATCCGTCAAGTATAAGTGCTGCGCAGAACCCTCAATAAAGCCTTCATAGACCCACTACCCTGTAAACCCTCTGAATGCCCAATTAAGGCTCTGGAGTTGGAGGTCACGAACGAGAGCACGCAGGCGTCGCAATAACGTGCGCATGTGCTGGACTTGCGCACGTTCCGCTTCTAACCCGCTAGGCTGCTTCCTCTGCTGACCTATCTGATGCTTTGCGCCCTGAATATGATCAAGCCCGAGCTACATCTACCGATGCCTTGATGGCGGAAACCCAGCCCGCTTCTGCACAAGTCTGAGTGTTGCATGCAATGACACGCAATGTTGCAAGCTTGAATCAAGTTGTCTAACCAGGGTGTATATACCTAAGGAACTTCAGGATGCTGGCTTGACACGGGCCCCATCCGCTTCTGAGTAGCTCAGCTAGTAGCACAAACAGCAGATGAAAATTAGCCACATTCCCTGTTCAATCAGCCCAGGCACATCTCGCAGGATGGTGATGGGAGCCAGGCCGTGAAGGAGGAGCCAACGGAAGCAACCTCCAGACGCAGATGGTGATGATGGCGATGCTATGGCTCCGCCCTCAAAGAAGCGCCGGGTGAGGACCCGCCGAGACCCTTGATGTCAGATTGGTCACCCCCCTATATAATCCTATATGGGTCCACTTGGAGGTTATAAAGTCGCACAAATTGACAAAGGGTACACATCAACATGCTGGCTGCTCATCAGGTGGCTTGCAGTGCAGGGCTTGCGTGCTTCACGGTCCAGCACAAACTGCAAGGGCCAACGCAATTCTGATGTAGGAGCGAGTACTTATAATGGGCGTGCCATGTTTCAGGAATCAGGGAAGGGGCATAGTGCATGTCTGCCATGAGCGGTATTAATTCAGCTCAGTTCCGTGTTGTCCATCTCAGGAGAAGCTTCGGGAAGCGGCTAAGGCTCAGCGTCGCCGGATGACCACCAAGAAGAAGCGCCGCAGAGCTGGAGGCGCCTGAGTTTCTCCTGGAGGAATGGGATAAGGGTACGAAAGCTCGGGATATGTTGGCGGATCTGCTCCTGCACCACAGCGGGAACAAGGATGCTTGTTCGCAATGGATGCACAAAACCCCCTGCGCTCCCAACTTTTCAGAATCTGCGTGGAAA